GGGTCCTCTGGTACTGCTGCTTGATGCAAGTGAACTGATACCACAAGGGAGTGTCCATCAAGGATCGGTAGAGGAAGGTGTTGGGTGAGCTCAATATCACCAACCCATGCTGCGCAATCGTACTGCGGGAGGGCACATCTTCCATCCTGGTAAGCCAACCCAAACAACGTGCTTTGATGGAGCTGGGAAGGTGCAATGGTAGCAAATCGCATTGGTTGTTGAACTGGTGTCGCAGAATCAAGAAGGGTTACCAGTGTGGCCTTGAACATTCCCATGGGCTGTTGCACTACCAGCACGTGAGCGGCACATGTAGCCTCCATGAGGGGAGGGTTTGGCTGTACAACAATCAGGTGCAGCGGATGTAGCGGTGTGATGGCATCATGCCAAACACCTCGAATGCGTTGGATCCACTCCTCCGGGTCTGCTGGCAACAATACAACCCGGGACACAAAAGTTTGTGGATGACGGATGTGGTCAAGGAACCATGTGTGTACTGGTACAAGTGGTGGTACATGAGGTGCTGTGCGCAAGGCCAATGGTTGCCACAGTGCTTGTAGGGTGGAGAAGAAAGTCAGGGCTCCAAACGGGTCCAGGATGTGATTGTTGTGTGCTGGGTCGACCACGACCATTGCAGGCACCTGATCACATGCCAAGGCGTCGCCTTCTCGTCCAACCATATGAGCTATCGATGCAGAAACCAAATGGTCATGCACTCGTTGCACACTTTGCTGAATGGTCCTGAATTGGGTTTGGATGAGGGACACTTCCTCATCCCATACGCTTGTCACTTTCCTAGCCTGCAGGAGGAAGCTATACCCATGTCTGACCGGAAAGGTGGCGTCCTCAGGAATGTGGATGCTTCCATGTGAGGCTCGGGTATGATACTTGTCTGCTTCTGGGTTCGAAGGATGCTTAATCAAAGACATAAACCCAAGCTGCTCAACAGAGGTTTCGTAATCCAGCATGATGCAGAAGTATCGAAGGGGCGTCAGGGGCTCGTCCTCCTTCTGTACTACCAACAATGCAGCTCTCCACAGGTCATTGGGGCGCTGCACGACAATAACGTGTGCGGCTGCTTCATTGGCTGGATCCTGAGGCGTGGGTGTAACTACATGAATCTGGGTTTGAAAACTTGGTTCTAGCTTGTCGCTCCATCTGGCTAGGATTTCCCGATGCCATGTGGCAGGTTGTGGCTGCAATAGGACCATCCTGGATTCCTCCGTGTGTGTGACCCGCAATGAGTCAAGAAACCAGGTTTGCACCTGCACGGGCGATTGCAGGTGGAAAAGGCATGCTGCCGGCCCGTTATTGATGTGCCACATCAACGTCTGACGCATCTCCGTGATTGCATGCGGCGGGATGCGGTATTCCTCATGTAAAGCATCAGGCATGTGAGCAGTCGATGCATTGTCTCTTCCGGGCTGGTTGACGGAAGTTTGCCGTGGTCTCGCATCAGACTGCATTAAGGTAGTGTCATCAAATCCTGGTTCTGCTTCAGGTTCTGGAGCCGGTTGTGGCTGGTGCAGGTTGACACTGTCTACATTTGGATGGGTCGTTGGGATGGGGGCTACTGAGAGCACAGCACTCATACCAGAGAATATTTCTTCTCTTTCAAACATCATAAATCGGAGCAATCCAGAGTGCATATTGCATGTTCGGAAATTGCACTGTGTTTGAAAGCCATGCTTTTCAATCATATCTTGTGTACATATGTGGTTTGCCGTCGACTCAACTTGTTGGAAAAGACCAACACGTGTTCCTCCCAGGAAAAGAGCTGTGAAATGCAACGCTGCTTTCAGTGGGTGCATGCCTTGCTCCAAAATGACATGGACGTCGGCATTGGCTCTAAGCTGGTGGGGTGGATGCGGCAAAACATTAAGTACACGGAGAGGCTGATGGCGGACAATGCGATCAAACCAGGCAAGGCATAAATCTGCGTACCAAAACTCCCTCATGTCGTCAAGCTCTACCATACGGGGGGCTGGACATGCAGTGAATGTGTCATGGTGGAGGTACCAGACCTCAACTCGCAAAATCCGTCCGATCTCTGGATGCACTGTGGTAGCCAGCTCTTCAAAAAGGTTGTCTAAATGAATGAGCCACGCAGGTCTGGGCTGAGGCTGTCGGTCTTGCTGGGCAGGAAGAGGCCTCTCAGAGACTGCAAGTTCAGGGGCTTGTGCCGCATGATCATCTGCCAATCTCAGGTTAGTCACAGAGGTGTCTTGTGATGACTGCATGCTACCATCTTCGTGCCTCTGGCAAACCGGTGGGAATGCAGGGGTTGGACACTGAGCAACCGTGCGCCTTTTGAAGTAGGATGTCAGTGTGGTCTGTCCTGTCGGTCGCTTGACCGCTTTGTCGTCCAGACGCTTATGACCCAGCCTGGAGAAAAAATTGTGCAGTGTGGTCTGTCCAAACGTACCAGCATCTTTGGGCTTTTCACGTTCTTGTTCGGCCATACGCTGATCTGACAAAACTGGCTCCGTTGGTTGTGCGTCGGAATCTTGAGGCTGGTGAGTGGACATGTTGCTACCTCCATGTTTCTCGGCATATGCACAACCCTTAGTTGGTGAGGACAGTGGCGTACTGTCGACCTCATATGCTTTCAAGTGATTGGCAGGAGGTACAACACCTGATGAAGGTCCATTGTGGGGAAGCCTGTCAGAATGGGGGTTCAGGTCGACCTTTGGTCGCAGTACCGCACCCATCTGAGCAGGACCGGAAACGGCCATGCTAGCATCGGTTGAGCATATCCCGGTTGGGATTCTTCGGCGCAATTTGACACCAACTTGAGTCAGCTGCATGTGTTCGCCAGTTTGATGCATGGCTTGTAGCTCATTCATGAAAGTGTCATGCTCTCCATCATCCTGCAGAGTTGTTGCTGCAACCTGGGTGTCAACTTGAAAACCCTCAGGTGGGTGCACTTCGATCAAGGCATAGGAGCCATGCACGACTGGCCGAGCAGTGCGTTCAACTTCAGGCCATATGACCCCATCAAGAAAAACTTCATGTGGCAACAAGCGTCTGGCAATAGTGAAACACTGCAGCAGTCATCAGGAGATGTGGTCTGATGATTTGGTATCCAACCCGCCTGACTTCACGGACCAGTGTTGGTTGCCCGGATCTTGGCGCAGCATGATGATAATAGAGGATATCAATCATAATGAGCTGGTCAGTTGTCCTGGGTTGCACATCCCCTGATCTTTGGACTATGGCCGCAACATCCTGTTCGGGGAGTCCATCCGGTCGGAGTGGCATTACATGAAATGTTTCCAAACAATCCAACGGTACCTGCAGCAGTGCAGCCAGGTCATGAGTGGGGAGCAATGGCTGATGAGCAATCAGTGGCACCAAAACTTCAGGCCCTTCTAGTTGATAAATGTGCAGCGTTCTTGCTGTATCATGGGTAGACATGGTCCCTCGGGATGTGGAGCTGCTCGCTGATTGCGACGGTTCCTCAATCCTTCTCTGCTTGGTGGGCATGGATGTAGGCGTGTGGGAGTCTTGGTTATCTAGTGCTGTGCTAGATGCTGCTTGGCCTCGCAACGCATGTGGCTCATGAACCAAGATTTGATACCCATCACCTGATCCAACCATGTGTGTGGGCATGAGTGTGTTCGGGATCTGATGCCATCTGTGTGTAATTGTGCAAACTCGAAAGAGACAAAATTGGGCTGCATCAGCCGTCATCACAATGTCATTCCCACTAACTGTTTCTTGGAATGACCCCGCAACAGCATACATGTTGAACAGCTGAGGTTGGACTGGTATAACAGTGATGAGACCTGCCTGACGTGTCGAATCTAAACCTTGAGTCACAATGAGATCGTACCGCACAAATTGGTGTCGAGCAATTCTGGGGGGATCAGGCTCAACAACAAACACGTCAAACCAGTCTCTGTCATCGATTTGGTCAGTCCAAAGTGCAGCAACTTGTGCTTCCCATGTGTGAGGTGGTCCAACTATTTGTAGTAGACGCGGTGAAGTCCATCTGTGTGTGGTGACATGATTGATATACCACGTCCGAACTGGCAGGTCAAAATTTCCGTCATCTGGGTGCATGCCATGATCACGGACCAAGGCTTCCAATCGATGAACAAATGCTGGTTGATAGGGCCTCCACGGTTGATCATTGTTATCATCCGGAGTATCATCCTCTTCATCAGAGTTGTCACTCTGGGCATTCCTGTCATCGATGGGGCTTTGATGCTCAAGACGGCAAGCATACACACCACCGGACTTCCCGATCGACTTGGCTACTTTGTCATGGACATTGAGACACCTATGTACAAGACTGGCAGACAAATCATCATCAAATCGGCTGCCTGTACAAGGGAAAGTACAATGTGCTGGCTGCAACAGATCCGGCAGGGCATGGTTGTGTTGGACATGGCTTGTCCGTAGGTTCGCCTGAACTCCAACTGCTGGATTGGACCATGGATCAATTGATGCACGTGGGCGGTATGCATTGGGATTGGTGGCTCGATCAACCAAAATGGTATTAGACCCTGTACTAGGACATCCAAAAGTGGTGTGGGTGTTCTGTTGACTGACCTCAACCTTCCTAATGGTGTCTTTTCCAGTAAAAGACTGTGGCATATTTGCATGAGAGGCTTCGTCATCATACAAGTCAAAATTTGCACAGTGTTTCAAAATTGTTGACTGAACCAGTCCATGATTGGTGAACTGCTTGAGCGATATGGATGGGTTACCAACATCAATGTGAACCTCAACCAAATCATCGAACAGCACATGTCTGGATGAACCTGCGCAAGATCGAATGGATGGACTGATCTTGGCATTCCGAGGAATAATCAAAATTGGCATGGTGGTACCAAGACTCCATGCAAGATGCCTAGCTTGGTCTATCGCTGCCCATTCGGATAGAAAAGCCGGATCATGAACAATGGTGTGCAACCACTTTTTCTCAATCGCACTACTGGAAACTTGCTGCTTTTCAGGCCCTGGTGCAATATGCCCTTCTGCAATATTAGCTGGGCCTAGCCAAAACCTGTGTTGGCTGGGTGAGCATTGGCAACTACATCCGTGGGCGATGCATCGAGCCTCGGTCGTTTCAGTGCCTTGTGCTCTTCTTCCACCATCTGTTCTGCAGATGATTTGAGCGCTTCTAGGCTGGTGTGGAGGTTGCAGATGCCTTCCTTGATCCTTTCGGCCGCCTGACCTGATACATCCTTGTCGGTGTCGTCCTCGCTGATTGTCATTGAGTCCTCCTTGACTTCGACACCAGCTGCTTGTTTGGATTGGGCCAGATTTACTTTGGCAGACTCCAGTGCTTCGGTTGCCGCAGCGACTCTGTCTGCCATCTGTTTTTCTTGCTCGACAAACTGTGCGCTGTAGCCTTGCCACAAGTTGACGGCATGCCCCAGGAACCCCCTCCAGGCTGCATGGAGGTTGAGCCTGGCCATTTGTGCCTGTTGGAGTTCTTTCTTGGCTTTTCCATGTGCTGTAACCGCATGGTGCATCTGCTTTGTTTCTTGTTGGCCTTCTTTCTGTGCAGCCTCGGAGACAAACGCTTGCAATTCTGGCGGTAGCGCATCGTTGTGCTTGCGCAATGCTGCCATGATTGACTTGATTTGCTTGTCTTCTGGTGGATTTGGATTGGGCGCTGGCACAACTGGTTGTTGTTGCAGCAGGCTTGTGAGCCATGGTGGGTCTGCTGCTGCAAGACTTGCAATTGATGGTGGACCAACTGCTTCGTTCTCCAGCTGCTTGTGTCGCCCTTTCCCTTTGCCACTGGGCGGTGTCTCTGCTGTAGATGCTTTTGCCTTGCGCGACCGCCTCCGTGGCGTTTGTCGCCTTTTTGGCGGAGCGCTCCATTGTGATCCTTCTCCATAAGCTTGATTCCAAGCTGCATCTTCCCAGTCCGCCTCGTTGCAATTGGCTGCATAAGACCATTGGACTTCTCGTGGTTGAACAGCTGCTGAGGTATAGGTGGGATCTGCACACAAGTGCCATGATTTGCCACAAATTCCGCAAAACTGGTGGCTTTTGCCACAAACTTTCATACATGTGACGCATCTCCACGCATGACTTGTTGCAGCGGCCATGGTTGATCTGATTTGATGGGTGTACTGTCGATCTTCTGAATGGTGAGCACTCAACCTCTTGATCCAACTTACGATGTGATGATGCGGAGGCACTAGCCGACCAGTTTTGTATAAAAACAGCTGGTGGCGAGCAATCGCCCTTGCACGTCTGAGAGCTCTCCTCTTGGTTGGAGCTGCCGTGATGAATCCCAGAATGAGTGAATGCAAATCCAAGCAGTAGCACCAAATAAAACATGCACTGTAACAAGTTTGTTGTACTCAGTGATTGGCTCACTGCAGAAGCCCAGTTTCAGAAAATTGACAGAAAGAAATCAAAATTTTTCCACGATGTTCCAGTTGTGAGGTGATCAGGTATCGGACAGACAAGGTCAATGCCAGAAAGATGCAGCGTCTCACAAATGGGAACACAGATAAAAACCCAAATTGTATTGCCCAACAAGACCGTGGAAACTGTCAGCTGATTGAACAGCAGTGAAAGGATGCACAAGTCAAGTGGCGAAGGCCAAAAATGCTATGGCAAATTAGCCCGTGGGTTTCCAGTCCCACTAAGGCGAGGCAACGCACGGCGAGGGGGTGCTTTTGAGCCAAGCCTTGGTATACCTACCCCTCTGAAAAATATGACTTCGTGAGTTGGGATGATGAACATCCCAATATATGGAGAAATAAACTTGTTCCAAACCACAAACCAGATATGTGTATTATAAGATAAGCATTAAGGGCATTTATACTATATATGATCATAAATAATGGAATTTTCCATGGATAAGCATGATTCTGATGGGATTATCATATGATTCTACATATTACATCATTATTAAATGGTGATGTCCTAAAAGATGGGGATTTCTCCCAGATTTTGATCCCGCATCCCCACATCCGTGCAGGAAACAGGTGATCTAAATAGGGATCACTATGGGATCTTAACCCCCCTAATCCTCCATAAGTTGGGAGTTTAACATGGTATATCACCGAATTATGGTGACATATAGATAAAGATGCCCATGTAGAACCTGAACTGCAGCCCCACTGCACCACCCCGCCCGAGATCAAACTTTTAGGGCATCCGACACCAATGAGATCCACAATCGCATAGAGCGGCCTGGGAGCCAAAGCCATCGGCCGGTTGAGTCACAGTTACAGTAAGATGGGCGGAAAGTGGTGGAGAACTACACAATAAACAAACAACATCATGTAACATTTCTTACTAAATCCTTTTTTCGAAGTACATTATATATTTTAATATATTTGCTATTACCCTGTGGTAAATTAACATAGACCCTGGCAGATAGGGGTTGGAAGACTAGTTTCCATTAAAAATTGGTGATTTTCAGGGTCTATGTTAATTTACCAGGGTGTATAAATTACTATGATGACTTTTTCTTAGCCCAACAACATTCATGCTGCAAAAGTTCTTGAACTTGGCACCTCTCCGTGGGCAAAGCAAAGGTGGCTTGCGTCACGGCCGCGCCGTTCACCACGATCTGCGGCCGTGGGAACAATGGGAACCTGACCTTGAGCTTACAATGGGGATCTATAGTCAATATCTGGGAAAATGAGAATATTTCACTAACCTTGGCGTTGTTTAACCGTTGCTTGGTTGCTCTTTTAACCGTTTTCTGGGGGATCTTAATCAGTTGAAAATGAACATCTTCAAGGGCAAATGAAGCATGACTGCAGTAATGAGGTTAAACCTGAATTAAGGCCATTTGGGGATGATTCCCCTTAGTAACTATGATTCTAGTGAGGTCGCAGTGAGGTCGTTATAATTTACCCAGCAATATATATATATAATTATAAAAATATAGTAGAGCTTACGGTGGGGGTTATAAACAACCATAATTCAAGGGGATATCATGGGATATAAAACCAATATGATGAATTTGGGTGTGTCTGAAAATGGTATCCACCAAATGACAATATTAATTAATATATCTGAAGATTTATAGGGATAGATGGTTGGTGGTATACCTACCCCTCTGAAAAATATGAGTTCGTCAGTTGGGATTATTATTCCCAATATATGGAAACACAAAAAATGTTCCAAACCACCAACCAGATAGTGATGACTAATCAATGGATTTAGGGGTAACCTATTTCTAGACACACCCACTTGTTGGTTGGTCAACCAACATAGGTATGAACACCAACCACTTTCTGGTGATTCTGGTGATTGAATGGCTTATAATTTGTGAAAACACAGTGGGAAAAATGGACTAACCTCAAAGCAACCAGAATGGGAGCAAGCATTTTCTCAGCCATGTACCCTCTGGTAAACTAACAGTGTGCTATTGAAAATGGCCATTGAAATAGTGGATTTTCCCATGAAAAATGGTGATTTTCCATAGTTATGTAAACGTTTACCAGAGGGTAAGAGGGGTACTTTCTGAACCAACAAACATGGGATACAAGTAATGGACAGCCAGATTTTTTTTTCACAGCATGGACAGCCAGTTGGTCCAAAATAAGGGAGATCCATTGGAATTTTGGGTACCCAACCTGATTATGTCAACAGTTTGCGACATAGAAAATGGCCATTGAAATAGTGGATTTACCCATTGATAGCATGGTGATTTACTCATGAAAAATAGTGCTTTACCCATGAAAAATGGTGATTTACCCATTGAAATAGTTGATTTACCTACTATAAATGGTGATTTTCCAGTTCGTTATGTAAACGTTTACCAGAGGGTAACCTATTTTTGGACAAAGCCAGTTGATGGTTGGCTCATAGTTGCCTACCCTCTGGTAATCAAACATGGCTGGAAAAACAACTGCATTTAGTTCGAGGGTTTTCCAATGAGGGGAAATCACCAGATTAACATCCATTGGTTACATGGTTGTGTATCCCACTAATGTCAACCCTGGATTAATAAACCCCAAACGGTTGTTTAATTGGTGGAATACCATTTAAGTATCAGATTATGACTATTGGAGGAGTACCCCCCTAATTAATAAACTATGGTTTATGAATCCGGGGTTGACATTTCTATCCACTTATGATCCCACCTTCACTGGTTCATAATTATCCACTAAGTGGGATAGTTATGATCATATGATCCCCACTTATGATCCCACTATTATTAAAATCCATTACTATCCACTTATGATCCCACTATCCAAATATCTCCAATTATGAACCAGCTTCTGCCGTGGCTTTCCTGGTGCTCTATGAACTAATCAAAGGCTGGGTCACATGGTTTCACACGATGCGAGTTTGTGTAACAAAATGCCGTGGTCTATCATCATTTTCTCCGTTTCAAAGGCCACACATTGGAGAATGCAGCATTTCTGGACATGCGCATATCAGATATATTTGGTTGTATATTCAGATATATCCCCTTTACATTCGCAGTACATCCTCATTATACCAGCGTTATTGCTTGGCAATATATGGCTGATTTTACCCCATGATAACCAATTTCATCCCCATTATGTGGTATGACTTATAACATTATAACCACGAATATTGTGAATCTTACTCCATTTGAGCACAAACCCTCTGTCGTCCCTTTAATATGTTTGGTTAATAGGGATTCCCATAATGGATTATGATAATCCCAATCTATTAAGTAGTATAATTACTCATATGTGTATGTCTATATATATATATAATTATATATATATATAAAATCATCCACAAACAGTGGTTTTGAACGTTGTTCATTTCGTTGGTTGAATTTGCCAAATCTTTTTGGTTGAAAACTTCCCCTCCAGCAGTACCAAGAAGCTCCTCAACATTTTTTTTTTCCCCATGAGCTCTCCCTGTATCAGTCATTGCTCACGCAGCCACGACAAGGAGGAGTTGTCGTCGACATGAACTAACAGGGTAAATAGAGATGTAGCAAGTCCCACAAAGATGCCAACAAGTCTTTCCAGGTGTAGATGATAGTTATCTCATGATTTGCGAAGTTTCCAACTATCAAATATTGCATCTTGACCTTGATATCCAATATTCCCTAAAAATCACAAAATCCCAGGAGCTCGTGAAATTTGCAAAGTTTCCAACTGTTCTATCCTTTTAATTTCCATGAAAAAAGGAATGGACTGCGAAAATCTCACCAGCCAGTAGGTGCTTCTGGGGATCATCGTCCCAAAATATGTCAAAATCATATGGAACATGGTCCATTTATAAATTAATTATAGATAATTGATAGATTTATAGATCATTGATAGATGATAAATATTTGACATCAACCAGATGTGATGGGATGTTTTTGACAGGGACTTCCTTATATTCCTTCTATCAACAAAGGATCAACATCACCTTCGGCTTCGGTACACTCTGCGAAGGAAAACACACGACTCATTGTTTTGTGGATTAAAACCACAGTCCTTTGTAACTAACACGCTTAAACTAAGCCCTGAAAAGATAGACAAGGTCAAAATTGCCACTGCATACTTTCTTGCTATATTGGTATATAAAGATTATTTTTTTTTGGATCTTTGCTGTTTTGACCATCAAAAGGAAGCTATACAGAGCCGATCAACTCTTTCCGAAAACCCGTGGCCACTTCAGCCATGGCTGTGCTATGTACAACTCAACGGGTCAGTGGGTCGCTTTATGGGTCTCTTGGTGCGTGAAGTATTTCAGGGCGCCGGGACCCGGGACCCGGGACCCGTTTCGTACTGAGCCATTTTCTTTCAAGGGAGCACCCCCCAAGTGAAGATAAAAAAAAAAAACAAAAGAGTCCTGATAAATTGTCATATTATGAATATAATCACTTGTCTATCTTTTTGGTGTTTACTATAAACAAACTATTCTAATATGATTATTACCCAGTGGATGCAAATGGGTCCTGCACATCTGGGCAATGCTGATATTGTGTCAATGTTGCACCAAGAGTCCCATGGCTTTTGACCCACAGCCTTATGCACATCTGGGCAAATGACACTGCGTTCGTAAACCATTTTGGCCATGAAAAAATAGATCGCCGGTATATGAACCTCTATTTTCTAATCATTAAACTAGCTACAGGATGGTAACCCCCCCAGTGATGTTTGTTGGTTCATAAACCCAATTGACATTCATTAACTAGTTCGATATATCATGTCATATCTACCAAAAACCAAAGAATTAAATAGAATTCAGCCACTTTTTTCAGGTATCTTAGGGACCCCATCCTGTACTATAGTTATATCTACCCCCCGGTAAACTAACATAGCTATTGAACATGGCCATTTAGTTCGTTGATTTTTCCCATTAAACATGGTGATTTTCCATAGCTATGTTAAATTACCAGAGGGTAAAATATAATATATGACCTCCATGTTCTAATCATTAAACATCATTATTGTTTGCTGGTTCATAAACCCAATTAACATCCATTAACTAGTTCGTTATATCATGTTATATCTACCATAAACCCAAGAATTAAATAGAATTCAGCCACTTTTTTCAGGTATCTTAGGGACCCCATCCTGTACTGTAGTTATATCTACCCTCCGGTAAACTAACATAGCTATTGAACATGGCCATTTAGGTCGTTGATTTTCCCATTAAACATGGTGATTTTCCATAGCTATGTTAAATCACCAGGGGGTATCATATAATAAATGACCTCCATTCTCAAATCATTAAACATCATTATTGTTTGTTGGTTCATAAACCGAATTAACATCCATTAACTAGTTCGTTATATCATGTTATATCTACCATAAACCCAAGAATTAAATAGAATTCAGCCACTTTTTTCAGGTATCTTAGGGGCCCCATCCTGTACTGTAGTTATATCTACCCTCCGGTAAACTAACATAGCTATTGAACATGGCCATTTAGTTCGTTGATTTTCCCATTAAACATGGTGATTTTCCATAGCTATGTTAAATTACCGGAGGGTACCATATAATATATGACCTCCATGTTCTAACCATTAAACGTCATTATTGTTTGTTGGTTCATAAACCCAATTAACATCCATTAAGTAGTTCGTTAAATCATGTCATATCTACCACAAACCATAGAATTAAATAGAATTCAGCCACTTTTTTCAGGTATCTTAGGGGCCCCATCCTGTACTATAGTTATATCTACCCTCCCGTAAACTAACATAGCTATTGAACATGGCCATTTCGTTCGTTGATTTTCCCATTAAACATGGTGATTTTCCATAGCTATGTTAAATCACCAGAGGGTACCATATAATATATGACCTCCATGTTCTAAACATTAAACATCATTATTGTTTGTTGGTTTATAAAGCCAATAAAAACATCCATTAACTAGTTCGTTATATCTACCCATAACCCAATCGAATTTATATTGGATAGTTATGATAGTTATATCCATTAACTAGTTCATCATTATTGTGTGTGGTTTTTAAACCCAATTAAATTAAAATCTATAAACCATAGAATTTAGCCCCACATTTGCCCAGGTACATCCCATCTCAGCCACGCCCTGCCGCCGCGCTTCTGGCTGCCGCCTCCTCCGCAGCGAAGGCGCTCACAGCGTCCTGGGCGCCCTCGAACTGGGCGAAGGCACAACTGTCCTGGGGACAGGGAGGTGACCGACAGAAAAACCAGAGCAAAAATGAGAGAAAAACCCACAGGATGGTGCCCCCCAGTGATGTTAGTTGGTTTATAAACCCCATTAACTATAGTTATATCTGCCATAAACCATAGTTATGAGAGTTATAAACCAGGAAAATGGTTGTTTAGTGAGAATTTGATGAAAACCCGGGAAAAACTAAGGAAAATGATGAAAAATGATGAAACATGGTGGTTTAGTGAGCATTGAATGGACCGGTATCATGAACCATTCATCAACCATCGCTGATGAACCATTCATTTTCGTGGTGAGGCCTAAGGAAAGCGCCGCGAAAGGCTTCTCCAGAATGCTTGTCGTGGTGCCATTTGACATGTTTGGAACGCATCTACAATATTTAACAATGTGTAGATTACATATTTGCATGTATATATATATATTATAATATACATATATTATCTGCTGTATCACCACTCACCAATGAGTGAAGTTGTTGTGGTTCTCGGGCTAAAATCACCTTGGGATTCGCCAAACACGTGAGTGCACTCAGAGGGCTGGCAAAGGTCTTTGTCCAAAGATCCTTGCGATGGGGTTGGGCACAACTTGAATGTGGGTACACAGTTCATGTCATGGTTTTAAAAAAAATTATACCCTCTGGTTATTTAACATAGCCATGGTATAGATGGCCTATTTATAGATGGTTTACCTATTAGTAGCATGGTGATTTTCCATGGCTATGTTAGTCATAACCAGATGGTACATCCTATTAAATCCTATTAAATCCCATTAAACCACCATAAATCCCATAAAATTCCATAAGTATGTTAGTCATAAGCAGATGGTATATTCACCTCTGCCAAACTACTCATCAATCCAGTTGCCTTTTTTGTGTCACAACATGTCACAACAAAAAAACCCATGTGAACCTCCTGGAAAAACTGGAGAAACTGGGACAGTGATGACAGTGGGCCAATTTTCTTAGGCCCCACACCCCAAAACCACACATTTTACCACATACAAGGTTAGGTCCCCTAGCTAAGTTCACATAACTTGGTTAATAGCTTGGTTAACTAGGGTTTCCGGTGGATATAACTATAAGTATACTAAGGAATTCATGTCATGGGGTGAAACGTTAACGCCAACGTTTACCGGCCATGGGGTCCTCAGCTTGTAGTCTTATACCATCCTTTTTCAAGAAGGATAGTTCAATCCCATTAAATTCCATCAAAATCCCATTGAAATCACATTAAAATGATGAAATCTCCATTCAACCATCGCTTTCCTTGGATACTTCCTATTATTGGAAGGAAACCCAACAGCGCAAGCGCTGTTCCCCTCATCTCCCAGAACTGGCTTTCCGAAAACGGCCAAGCGTCACAGGTTCGAACGGGCATCTGGAAACCCAGGCGTTCATGCGATAGCCTGCATGGATTTCAGGCGCAGTGAAGCGAACGCGACATTTTTCAATCTTTTTTGCAACACACCCAACGATAATGAAGATAGAAACTTAACGTAAAATCACACTGAAATGATCATCAATGACTTTTCTACATTTTTCTACAGTATCTTTTTTGAGGTACCTTTAAGACAATGTGGGATCCAGCATTGTCCAAACCCTGTGGACTAAACGCTCAACATTTGGTGCATATGCCAACTCCAATTTTTCGCTTCCCTAAACTGAATGGCTTTGTGGCAGATTTGGAGGAGATTAACCCCAAGTCATCTGCCATTAAATGGTACCCCCGAACTTTTCAGAAGCCTGGGGTGAACAACAGATCCGGGGGCGACATTATTTGAATCATCTATAAATCCGGGTTGCTCCCAACCAAAAAACAGTGGGACAATTTACTAAATCAAAAGTGAAATCAGCACTTTACCCCTGCGGGTTTTCACCTTCACCTTGGATTTGATTCAGGTAATCCAGCAGTTTTTGATGGTTAATACATCTTACAGGATGGGGCCCCCGTTGGTTGTTGCGTTCAGTTGCCTGAAAAAAGTGGCTGAATTCTATGGTTCATGGTGGATATAACTAATATAACTATAGTTAATGGATGTTAATTGGGTTTATAAACCAAATTATAATCGGAGGGCACAATCCTAGTACAACCAGCGCTTCATGGATGTTTTCATGGGGTTTATATATAAACCAACACATCACTGACGTGGGAACCATCCTATACCAAGCCATTTAAAGGGTCGAAGGGGATGATCTTGTCACTGAATCCCATCCCCTAATATTAGACACTCACATTTTCATGCTCCCACATGTGTGTAAATCTCCTTATTCAACCATGGTTTCTGGTGAGTAGAGGGATGGGGTTACTATCAACATTGCTGCTCGCAGAAAAATCCTCACTGGAGCCCCCACTTTTCCTCCGGCATTTCGCCGGCCTTTTCCTGGAACAACCTTCACAAACCACACGTCCACATGAGAAGCAGTGGTGCCTGGAGGCAGGGCGATTGGCTCTTGGATGATCCCGACTTGTTGGTGGTTAATGGTTCATAAACCTGCAGAATTAGTGTGGTTGGTACCCCAAAAATAAAAAAACGCAAGAGAAAATGGCCAAAAGCCAATCTTTGGGGTTTCGTGTTTTGTTCGCGATTTTTTTTACTAAATGAGTCACTAAACATATCCTGGTTGATTGGTTAATTTTTAGGGACTGAAAAACCACCTAATTCATGGTCAATCCTTTACAGTCCACAAAAAAAGTATTTTGTTTGTTATGATAATTTTCGATTTAATGTCAATCCTGGATTAATAAACCCCTAGGCTGTTTAATTGGAAGGGTACCATTTAAGTATTTGATTATGACTATTGGAGGAATACCCCCCTAATTAATATACCATGGTTTATTAATCCGGGGTTGACATTATAGCAACAAACTAAAGGATTAGTTTCTACCCATCCAGTCGGTGATGATTTTTTTTGGGATGATGATAAATGATAAGCCATAGACCACTAAACACCACTCTTTCATTATCACAATTTCCCATGGTTTTCGTCTTTTTTCCAGTGGTCCATGGGTTTTTGATTTATAATCCCCTTTAACTATAGTTATATAATATAATATATATATATATCTCCATATAACATTCAAATTATTGGACTTATAAACCCACCAACTTAGCCAACGGCCCCATCCTTTCGTAGGGAAAGCCGTTGAAACAACGAAGGTATGGCAACCGCTGCCTGGATAACATCTTTTGAGGCTCGCTCTGCAGAACATAGGCCCAGGTGAAGTCCTTGGTGACGATGGCGTAACTGGCATTTTTTACGGCAGCTGCTGCGAAGTGAATGGGTTAAGCAACAGAAATATGGTGGTTTAGTCATGGTTAATGATGGTTAATGATGGTTTAGTCATGGTTAATGATGGTTAATGATGATGATTAATGGTGATTGTAAAATCTGGTTGGTGGCATGAAATTTTAGAATTGGAAGTCATGAAAATGGTATCCCCCAAATTACAAAATTAATATATCTGAAGATCTATAGGGATAGCTGGTTGGTGGTTGAGCCTACCCCTCTGAAAAATATGACTTCGTCAGTTGGGATGATGAAATTCCCAATATGATGGAAAGTCATAACAGCAATGTTCCAAACCAGCAACCAGATTAATAGAATTGGAAGTTATACTGTGATGAACTGAATGCCATAAGACATCTCCAAAAGTACCATAAAGGGGTGGTACAGATGGGGTTTACCACATTCTTCTGGTGGTTGAGTCATCGTTCATATGGTAGACAACTGGGTATGAAATTGCCAAGCAAACGTTTAGACATAGTGGTTCTTTGGGTATAATCTACAAGAGATGGCAATTTCGAAGGTTGTTTATACAAGATCGACATGGGTACCATGGAGAAACAATCATAGGAGTCTTGGGAAGCATTTTCTAATCGCAAAAAACACACATACCATCATTTTCGGTATGACTGCATGGTTCAGAAGACCATCATTTCATAGGGCGTGAAGCCGCGTGAAACCTGAATAAACCTGACCATCTGCACGCGAAATAACATAGGACATTCAGGCATGGGTTCACAGAAAACTGACCTAGTCAAATGGCCATTTCAGGAACCTAAGGCCTGGTAAATTGGAGGTAGCTACCATATATAAGGCCTATTTTTCAGGCCTAAATTTCAGGGAATATCCCCAGAAAATATGGCTTGAAAAATGGTACGTTTACGTCCATGTAGTGGATCCTGAAATTTCCTGGTCTCCAGTGATTGTGGCATATCCTCATTGTATCCCATGGCTGATGGTCAATATCTATGGCAACTAAGCCATTTCCCTACCCCACTTGGGCCATGGAGTTAGTTCACTGGCCAATAAATGTTTTATGTCTCCTCAGGGTTATAACTCACTTACTAACCAGCTACTTGGAGGATCATCCCACTTAGAAAGCGCTTAGGATCCGCGTAGTTTGTAAGTCACCCAAGTGGGGTTGTGCCATCAACAAGTAGGTTGTAATCCCATGGCCCAGCTTAGCACCATCAGTTCACCCCAAGAGTCGGAGTTGCAGCAAGCACACAGCTCACGCATATCGAAGGACCTCGGCTCTTCCCAACCGGAAGATTCATATGGAATTCCGGGCGAACATCTCAGCAGAAAATAGTCATCCTGGCGTAGAAGATGGAACTGTCAAAAGCATCCTCACTAACATTTGAACATCAAATATTCTATCTACTTCAGGATGACGATGTATATATGTATATATATATCTGGGTAAATTAAAATATTCACTAACCTGAATAGTTCGGCCATTTGGGGATCATTTCCCTTACTAACTATGATTTCCAGTGAGGTCGCGACGTGAGGTCATTATAATTTACCCATATATATATATAACTCCAATAACTATGGTTTATTGTACTTATAACTATAGTTAATGGGGTTTATAGTTTATAGTTAATGTGCTTATAACTATGGTTTATTACTTCAGGATGACGATACATATATATATATATTGCTGCAGTTACTGAGAAACCTTAGGTCCATAGATGTACATCGGGTATCAATGATGGATTTCTATATGATTATATGTTTATCTGGTTGGTGGTATACCAACCACAATTCATGGGGATATCATGGGATATAAAACCAATATGATGAATTTGGGTGTGTCTGAAAATTGTATCCTCCACATGGCAATATTCATATATCTGAAGATTTATAGGGATAGCTGGTTGGTGGTTGAGCCTACCCCTCTGAAAAATGACGGACTTCGTCAGTTGGGATGATGACATTCCCAATATGATGGAAAATAACAGCCATGTTCCAAACCAGCAACCAGATTAATAGAATTGGAAGTTATACTGTGATAAACTGAAAATAAAAAATGTTCCAAGCCACCAACCAGTGTAAAAATATCATGGGCTTTGATCAAAGAATGACGGGGACTTCCAGTGACTTCCAATGCTTTTTTGGGCTGGGGATGCACCAGTGATCACTTTGTGCCACACAAAAACGGTCATAGTGTCCATGGGGATTTAGGATTTACCGGTTATGACATTGCCAGTTTGCCATGGAAAGATCCACCATGGCTATTAATAGGTAAACCATCTATTTTCCATGGCTATGTTAGTCATAACCAGAGGGTATATATAGCTACCTACTACTCCAATTTTGGAGTATCAAGAACAAAAGCCAGGGTGCTAAACTCTGAACTCGCGACCCAGCGACCCATTTGTGGAGTAAAAAACTGGTTGGTGGTGCAATGACCATCTTGAAAAGTATGAAAGTCAATGGGAAGGATTATAATGATTATCCCGAATTATCCCATATATTCTGGAAAAATGTTTGAAATCACCAAGCAGCTGGGCTTATAACTAACTAGCATGAGATACCATGAGCCATAATTCCCAAGAAGACCATTACCATGAGCCATTTTACCTACGAGATACCATTAGGCTCATTAGCAATATTGTTGCTAAATACAACTCTGGTTGGTGGTTTCAACCCCTCTGAAAAATATTAGTAAATGGGAAGGATGACATTCCATATATTATGAAAAATAATCCAAGTGTTTGAAACCACCAACCAGTAGTAAACCTAATGATCATTCATTAACCATACCCAAATCTTTTAATTAAACCTTGAACCATTGGGGCTTATTACAACCAGATGTGAGTTCGAGGCAAAAAACACCTCAGGGATTCTCCCCCAGCCCCAGCCTACATCGCGATCAACAGGATCATCACGTCACGTGTGGTAAAAATGGTCCGTTTTGCAACTGATGGGTCAAAACCTTGGAGTCCCTTCTCACATGAAAATAAGTGGTGCATGTTCATCCCCCAACATATGATATTATTCTGACTTTTTAAGCCATTCCAGACAGAAAATCTTCCTGGTGCTTAGTAGGTTTCATGGGGGAATGATTCAGAATAACTTAAAAAATAACACTCATCCCATTGCTTGATTCCCTCCCAAGCACTAGTATCACTAGTAACTAGTAAGATTGATCAGATCCCGCTTTTGCATCCCGGAACCTAAGCATTGATGATATAAAATCATTGTTACATCATGAATCACCATGAATCACAACAAATCAGCTGTTATCACCATTAATCACAATTCATGATTGCATAGTAATCACCATTAATCACCATCATCAAATCATGATTCTACCATGATTAAACAATTATCACTGTGAATCACTATACTGTAAATCACCATACCCCAATTTTTTTCACGCTCAACCACCAGCACATTTGGACCTCCATCTCACGCAGGCGCCAAGCGACTCCCATTCCGGCACTGGTGGCTCTTGCAGGCATGCTTGATGTATGGCGAGTGCCTCACCCACCACTGGTTGCTGGTTGGATAGCCCGGCTGAAGGGATCCTTAAGGACTTGAAAAAGCACCAGCTATTACCCTCCGGTAATCTAACATAGCTATTGAAAATGACCATTTATAGTGGATTTTCCCATTGAAAATGGTGATTTTCCATAGCTATGTTAGTTTACCAGAGGGTAACCATTATTAACAGCTAAGAACTATACATTCTCCACATCCAACTTTAAAGAGATCAATGTCTTTTTTACCACTAGGGAAAACCATGAAATACCCTAAAAATAGCAACTTAAAGATGATGATTACACAGTGGACTTGGTACCAGGACTTTTTGAGACACGAAACCGAAACACATTGCCCCAAATCTTGGCCTTTAGATTCAGTTTTCACTGGGTTGCTTGGCTTAATCTCGGGCTTGGTCGTAAATCTCCTCACATGATCCAGTTGTGGCAATGTTTATAACTGTTCCACATTGCCACAGAAAAATGAAACACATGTGGTTTCATTGTTATACATGCCGTATATAACTTCCATATATGAACGGGTCTGTCTTAAAAAAACAAGCCCATTCCATCCACTGTCTACTCATCATTTTCACCATTCATCTAGCCGAAAATTTCTAGACACAGCCAGCCAGCCGCATCCTCTCCCCAGATTGTCCCGCCCAGGAACGTAGCTTTCCATCTGGTGGTCCTTCAACATTTCCTGGCACCAAGACACCAAGCCGCTTATGGCTGGATGGGGATTGAATCTTCACCGTTTCTTTCCGGAAAGGGGTTGCTTTGGTATACCATCTATGATCATGTACCCTCTGGTAAACATACAAAAAGCTATTGAAGCCATGGCCCAGTCGAAATAGTGGATTTACCCATTAAAAAAATATGTTTTTCCATAGTTTTTTTGTATGTTTACTGGAGGGTACCATCTATCTGGGTAAATTATAACGACCTCACTGTTCTCCCTCACTGGAAATCATGGTTTATTTTAGGGGAATCATCCCCCAATGGCCGAACAATTCAGGTTAGTGAAATATGATAATTTACCCAGATCTATGATCATTCACCCACTGATGGCCACTGGGGGAAGCCCCTCTATTATAGCATCAACCGTTGGAAAAATAAGACATCCATGGATGTTTTCTAAATGTTCACATTGTCATTCAACGGGATACTAGTCAAAAGATATGCATATATGTCATAAATGGTGATGAGTGAAACTCAATATACAAAGTATATACATCAATGATCACATTGGATATACAATATATTTCAATATATCCATTGATGATTGTAATATAACCCAGAGTTTATATGCATATACAATCATCAATGTGAAACTCTGGGTATCTCTGGGTGTGTCTGAGCATGGAGTTTCCCTCCCAGCAATTTGGATAGGGAACATGATGATTAAACAGTGGATTTAGGGGTAATCGATTTTCGGACAAACCCATGACCCAATGTGATATTTATCATCTGGTTATGACTAACATAGCCATGGAAAATCACCATTTTTAATTACGGTAAACTATGTATTTCTATGGGCCATCTATACCATGGCGAACTGTTAGTCATAACCAGAGGCTACTGGTGGATGTTATACGGCTGCTTGGGGTTGTCATGTCTAACTGATCAGTTCATAATCATAATCAGTAGACATGTGTAATGGGGGATATAATGGAAATAATGTGGTACATCTGATAATAAGATATGGTACAAGGTGGGGCCCCAGTTCGGAATCGCTAAGTTGGTGCGTTTATAACTCCCATTAAACCTATGGTTTATGGCAGATATAACGAACTAGTATTCATGGGGTGTATAAACCAACTATCATCACTGGGGGGCACCATCCTGTGATAGGTTGATAATAAACCATCAGCCATTGTCAAGTATGTAATGTCACCATATGTCACCATATTTACAAAGGTTAAACAGGTTCTAAATGATGATGGAATCCCTAGCTAATCAACCAGGTCAACTGATCAACCACTATATCCTCATTACATTCCAGTGGGTTACAATTATGGAACAACTTTTCCGCTAAGACTTTGCTGCTTGTAAAATCCCCCATTGTTGGCTACTTGGGGGTGCATCCCAGTTCGTAAATGCTCAATAACCATACTATAACCCAGCTATAATATATATATGGTTTTGATTAATGAGTTATATTCCCATCCCTCTAATGTTAAACATCCCCTCAAGGGTCCCACATATGTGTTAATCCCCCTATATCCGCCACGGTTTCTTTGGAACGTGTAAAATTAATGGGATGGGATTAAGTTCCACATCATGAATGGTTCCTAGTTTCAATCCTAAGAATGATTAGATTGATTTTAGCATTAATGGTTCCTAAAAATCATTAATGGTTCCTAGTTTCCACATCAATCCTAGATTCTGTTTGATTTTTCCACATCTACTCCAAGTCAAGAATGACTGTTTTGATTGTAAAAAACAACACGGAAAACAGATGCAAGGGATGCTGGGATGCTCCAAGTACAAGGTGACCCAGTGATGCTTGTTGGTTTATACCCATTCATGAATACTTTGTGCTCTAAAGTTCTATCCCCCATAGACTCAACAGTTCATGAAGCTTATGTGCGTGAACTTAGCACTAAGCTGGTAAATTAATTAGGGGGCTTCACATTGGTATGGGATATTAATGGAAAAACAGCACTGATTTTAATGGGATCTGCCATGGGAAAAACAGCCCCGGCGGAGATCCACATTAGCAAGGCAGGTGGGACTGTCATCCGAGTCATCCATGACGACAGGATGATTTTGGGGTATGGTCATGTTAGGAAACCTCCAATATATGTCATGGGACATTCGGACATTCTATCTAGTGAAATTATCATATTTCACTAATCTGAAAAGTTCGACTATCTTGGGATAATTTCCCGAATCCAAACCATCAGTGGAGTGAGGTCGCAGTAAGGTCACTATAATTTACCACTGTATATAAATATATATATTTTTAATCTTATAATCACATTTTGTAAATAATCAAAAATCAGCCAGGATCCCATTATGATTCATTCATAATATATATATATAACTTCCATTAAATCCATGTAAACCCCAATATTAATGGTTAGACATCCATACAAGGTGGTGCCCCATAGTTAGCTAAGTTGGTTTATAACTCCCATAACTATGGTTTATGGCAGATATAACTATAGTTAATGGGGTTTATAAACCAACTATCATCACTGGGGGGCACCACCTTGTATAAATTCAATGTATCAACCCAACCGCGTTTTTCGCCTGTGACGGAATGATCCTGGTCAAGGTCTCATGGTTTGCCGCGCACTTCGCTGCCCGAGCTAAGCCTGGGCGCGCTGGAGGAGCGGTCAGTGGTCACGTTGGTCACGTCACCAAAAATGGCTGAAACACATAGGAAAACACGGGCAAAATCATCAAACACCCACAGGAATCCATTGGAATTCTTCAAACATCGACGAAAGTTGGTGAAGTATTCTGACTATTCATGGTTAGATCGATGGGAGTACCTGGCAATTTGTAATCATAAAAAATGGGCTCCAGTTCTTGGTCAGAATCCATTGGAATTACGACACTTTAAGCCTGGACATCCTTCGAATCTTCCCGGTCAATTCGTTGCGGAAAAAACTGATCGATCACTTCCAACTGCCAGCCTGGAGGTACATCCCAGCTAGAAAATGATGAATAAACTCGTAAGAAAAACCAATGTAACTTGTCTGGCTGGTGGTTGACCTACCCCTCTGAAAAATATTAATCAGTTGGGATTATTATTTCCAACTGAATGGAAAAATAAACAATGTTCCACACCACCAACCAGACTTGTTCTTCAAAGTAGATCACATTACTAATCTTATTAGCCACTGGATGCAACTGGTTCCTGCACGTCCAAATAAATTTCTATCCCTATTTGGACTTGGAGGATCATCTGAGTCGTGGGATGATCCTCCAAATATAGATCAGTGGTTTTAATAGGGCTTATATTGACTAACTTATGGAGGTTAAAATCTCAGAGTTCACTAATGCTTTGCCATTTCAATGTCTATTTATGGAGGATTTTCCGTGGTTTGGCGTTGGTTTTCCCATGAATTTCCCATATCTTCCGATCAAAAACGTCGCCATTTATCCATGATTTCTGGGAAAACCAGAATTTAGACAAAACATTTCGGATATTATGGTAAATCGCCATTTATCATACTGGGTAACCTAAAAAGTTCATTTGGGGATGATTCCCCGAATCCTACAACTGGTTGGTGGTATACCTACCCCTCTGAAAAATATGAGTTCGTCAGATGGGATGATTCTTCCCAAAAGATGGAAAGTCATTCAAAATTCCATGGTTCCAGTCACCACCAACCAGATTATGAACCATCATTAACCATTATTAACCATGATAAACCATTATTAACCATCATTAACCATCATTAACCATCATTATCCCATAGTAAACCGCCAACCAGAACATCATGAACCATAATTAACCATGATAAACCGTCATTTATCATGATTCCAGGGTCACAGTGAGCTAAAGCAAGACGCCGTTGCGGCGGTAGAGATGGATCACTTCTCCGGGAATCAGCAGCCTCGGTGGCCGAAGTTTCGGAGTTGTGATGTTGTGATGATAGGAACACTGGAAATCATGGGATAATGGATTTAATAGGATTTAATTGGATTTAATGGGATGTAATGGGATGTAATGGGATTTAATGGGATTTAATGGGATTTAATGGGATTTAATGGGATGTAATGGGATTTAATGGGATGTAATGGGATGTAATGGGATTTAATGGGATTTAATGGGATTTAATGGGATTTAATGGGATGTAATGGGATTTAATGGGATGTAATGGGATGTAATGGGAGTTTACTGGGAAATTAATAGGGATTTAATGGGGTTTTAATGGGATGTAATGGGATGTAATGGGATTTAATGGGATTTAATAGGATTTAATGGGATTTAATGGGATTTAATGGGATGTAATGGGATGTAATGGGATTTAATGGGATTTAATGGGATTTAATGGGATTTAATGGGATGTAATGGGATGTAATGGGATGTAATGGGATTTAATGGGATTTAATGGGATGTAATGGGATGTAATGGGATGTAATGGGGTGTAATGGGATTTAATGGGGATTTAATGGGATGTAATGGGATTTAATGGGATGTAATGGGATTTAATGGGATTTAATGGGATGTAATGGGATGTAATGGGATTTAAAGGGATTTTAATGGGATTTAATGGGATTTAATGGGATGTAATGGGATGTAATGGGATTTAAAGGGATTTTAATGGGATTTCATTTTGATTCAATAGGATTTAATGGGATTTAATGGGAATTTAATGGGAAATTAATAGGGATTTAATGGGATTTAATGGGATGTAATGGGATTTAATGGGATGTAATGGGATGTAATGGGGCTTTAATGGGATGTAATGGGATGTAATGGGATTTAATGGGATTTAATGGGATGTAATGGGATGTAATGGGATTTAATGGGATTTAATGGGATGTAATCGGATTTAATGGGATTTAATGGGATGTAATGGGATTTAATGGGATTTAATAGGATTTAATGGAATTTAATGGGATGTAATGGGATGTAATGGGATGTAATGGGATTTAATGGGATTTAATGGGATGTAATGGGATGTAATGGGATTTAATGGGATCTAATGGGATTTCATTTTGATTCAATAGGATTTCATGGGATTTAATGGGAATTTAATGGGATTTTGATTCAATAGGATTTAATGGGATTTAATGGGAATTTAATGGGAAATTAATAGGGATTTAATGGGGCTTTAATGGGATTTAATGGGATGTAATGGGATTTAATGGGATTTAATGGGATGTAATGGGATTTAATGGGATGTAATGGGATTTAATGGGATGTAATGGGATGTAATGGGATTTAATGGGATGTAATGGGATTTAATGGGGTGTAATGGGATTTAATGGGATGTAATGGGATGTAATGGGATGTAATGGGATTTAATGGGATGTAGTGGGATTTAATGGGATGTAATGGGATTTAATGGGATGTAATGTGATGTAATGGGATGTAATGGGATTTAATGGGATTTAATGGGATGTAATGGGATGTAATGGGATGTAATGGGATTTAATGGGATGTAATGGGATTCAATGGGATTTAATGGGATTAATGGGATTAATGGGATTTAATGGGATTTAATGGGATTAATGGGATTAATGGGATTAATGGGATTAATGGGATTTAATGGGATTTAATGGGATTTAATGGGATTTAATGGGATTCAATGGGATTTAATGGAATTTATAATGGTATTTAATGGGTTTTAACTGGATATAATGGGATTTAATGGTATTTAATAGGATTTAATGGGATTTAATGGGATTTAATGGTATTTACCCTCTGGTAAACTAACATAACTATGGAAAATCATCGTTTTTAATGGATAAATCAACTATAAAAAGCAATTTTCAATAGCTATGTTAAATTACCAGAGGGTAATGGTATTTAATGTGATTTAATGGGATTTAATGGGATATAATGGGATTCAATGGGATTTAATGGGATTTAATGGGATTTAATGAGATTTAATTGTTTTTTTTTGATTTAATGGGATATAATGGGATTTAATGGGATTTAATGGGATTCAATGGGATTTAATAGGATTTAATGGGATATAATGGGATTTAATGGGCTTTAATGGGATTTAATGGGGTTTAATGGGATTTAATGGGATTTAATGGGATTTAATGGGATTTAATGGGATTTAATGGAATTTAATGGGATTTAATGGGATTGAATGGGATTGAATGGGATTTAATGGGATTCAATGGGATTTAATGGGATTTAATGGGATTTAATGGGATTTAATGGGATTCAATGGGATTCAATGGGATTTAATGGGATTTAATGGGATTTAATGGGATTTAATGGGATATAATGGGATTCAATGGGATTTAATGGTATTTAATGGGATTTAATGGGATTTAATGGGATTTAATGGGATTTAATAGGATATAATGGGATTTAATGGGATTTAATGGGATTTAATGGGATTTAATGGGATTCAATGGGATTTAATGGGATTTAATGGGATTCAATGGGATTTAATGGGATTTAATGGGATTTAATGGGATTCAATGGGATTCAATGGGATTTAATGGGATTTAATGGGATTTAATGGGATTTAATGGGATTTAATGGGATTTAATGTGATTTAATGGGATTTAATGGGATTTAATGGGATTCAATGGGATATAATGGGATTCAATGGGATTTAATGGGATTTAATGGGATTTAATGAGATTTAATGGGTTTTTTTTTGGATTTAATGGGATATAATGGGATTTAATGGGATATAATGGGATTCAATGGGATTTAATGGTATTTAATGGGATTTAATGGGATTTAATGGGATTTAATGGGATTTAATAGGATATAATGGGATTTAATGGGATTTAATGGGGTATAATGGGATTTAATGGGATTTAATCAACTATCAATGAGGGAAATCATGATTTTCATGGGATTTAATGGGATTTATTAGGATATATCATGATATACCCTCCGGTAAACTAACAGTTTGCTTTTGAACATGGCCATAGAAATAGTTGATTTACCCATTAATAGCATTGTTTTTTCCATAGTTTTTTGTATGTTTACCAGAGGGTATTGGTGTATGATGTTTAATGTTGTTGTAATTAATTTCCTATTATACACATGAAACTTAATGTTCAGAGTTTGATGGTGTTGTATGATTCTTACCATTTGTTTTTTTTTACTATTGTTGTTGTTACGATGATTATCACCATGATTTGTGCTATGTTGTATTATCACTATGACTATCGGAAAACATTCCTATTTATTACTATTGCTACTACCATTACTATTACGACTACTATTTCGATTGTTGTTACTATGATGGTATCTTTATAACTATTAAGGCCGATTTGAATTTCAACGTTGCATTTCTATTGTGGGAATTCTTATGGTTGCATCCTGAATGGTGACTTTTGTTTGCTAATGGATGATATTCAAAACTTCCAATTCAAAAATGCTACAAATATCATGCACATAAGAAATGTCTCCAAAATGTTGAAAATCGGAAGGAATACAGCGCCAGAGAGAAAAGAGATAAAACAGCCATCAAAAAAAGACCACGTTGAGAAACCTGGCAGTTTGATTTGGTCATTTTTTCCCCCTTTGGCCAAAAATTTCTCGAAGCCATCAAGCTTGATCCAAGGTCTACCAAAGACATCCTCATCAAAAGGCCTCATTTTGTACAACTCCCACATCAGCGCTTGCGGAAAAAGCCACGTTTGGAAGGACACGTAGGACTATGCCACAACTTGGACTACAGTGACTACGTAGGTTGACGTAGGTTGTTGTGGTACGCGGCGTACGCGTTTTTCAAAGCCAGGCTGCTACCATCATTTCAACAGACTTTCATGTTTTCTTAACTTATCAACCCATCTTCACCCATTCTGGGGACATCAATGCGCTGGACGTCTAGCGCATTGGTGATTCCATTTTCAGGATCGCATCCAGCAGATGGGCTTTGGGTGATTCCGATGTCTCCCAATTCATGGCGCTATTTCCGCACAACAAAAACAGGAAACATATCGAAGGAATTCATGATTGGCGCGTCCATGTCGCTTCAATCCGAGGTTTGATTGGTTTTTCAGCATTGTTGTTGCTAAGATTCCAGGTTTTGTTGGTCAATTGTTCATGGTCAGATCCACCCTCTCAGTGAAACTTCCTGATCTTGCAGAAAAAAAACGATTATTTTTGAAAGTAAAGCCACCATTTTGGATGGTAAAAGTCTAGTGTTTCATGTTCACATGCAGAGTTGTTATAAAATCCAGGGCTTCAAAAGCTAGATGGTTCCATTTTGGATGGTAAAATCCATATGGAGGTTTCCAAAGTCATGGGGCATTACCCCCAAATCATCCATGTCAATTGGATTTACCATGAAATAAATCATCCATCTATTGGGGTAGCTCCATTTTATATAAGAAAACCCTATAGATCCTATAAATCATCCATTTTATATAAGAAACCCCTATAGATCCTATAGATCCTATGTTTTTTTGTTTAAAAATCCAGCGCATATCCAGTCGGGAGTCACGAGTCAACGATTCACGATGACCTTCAGGAGGCGCTGGCATTCTGCCAAGAATCAGAAGATCTGGGTCTCAGGGATCTTGTGGGGGTCCCAGGTGAAAGATGTGGAGGTGGTGGCTGAAAAAATGGCTTGCGTCCCAGTGAAAATGTGAAATTCACCATGAAAATATGATGGGATATAAAGCTGACATACAATGATATAACTCATGAATAAATTGATTTGTCGGTTGTTTAAAAATAGGAAGATACGATCAGATTCCCCATTTTATGACCGTTGCAATATTGTACTTGCCAACGGATATGTGTTTGGACAAAGCCGTAGATTCCTTTTGTACCTTGTCCTCCCACACTTCCGATGAGACTTCACAACCAATTGATGAATTGCTATAGAAATGTTACTACATGTTATCACTGTGACAAGGACACGCAACACTATAGTAATTATAACATTGCTAGTACTATCATAAAACAAACATAACATAACTATTTATTATATATATATTATAATCATAAATTTCTATCATAACAATGATTAAGTTATTCTTTGGGAGCCCCGTTTTTCGCCCGTATCCAACATTTGCAGGTCTCATCCACCTGTACTGGCAAAACGTGTGAGAGGAGCTCCAATTGGCAGATGGCCATTGGACTATTGGCCCAGATGCGAAGGACGCAGATTTTTTGTTCCGAGTCGTCAGGGGGATTCAGCAAGCAGATTTTTGGAAAAGCCGGCAGGTCACGTGATCAAAAAATAGTCTCTAGTCATGGATGGTTGGGGTGAAAGACAGCGACTAAGACACAAAACTTTAATTGCTCGGTTCTTGCACATTTGGGTGATATGATTGGAGTGATATTTATATATCACTGTTATCATTTTCTTTTCACTCCAATCTGTTTGTTCAAGCTCACTATCTTTGGTGTTCAAGAGCGACTTACTTTGCTGTTCAGTCGAGACTCCGAATATGGATCTTTCTGCGATCAGGTGCCTACTTTTCCGGCATCATGAACCGTCCCCGCGTTGTGGTTACCCCTACGCGGTTAATGATCTAGCCATTTGAGTAATATCATGGCTATAAACCACAAATGGCTATGATCTACAATTAAGTGTTAAATATCATAGCCATTTGAGTAATTCTAATTCTCAGCCATTTGAGGTTGCCAAAACGCTGGGCCAGAGATTTTTAGCGGGTGCCTTAAAGTTAGATGCTGGGGATGCTGCCAGGAAAAGAATTCAAAAGAATCTCATTGCTTTCGACTCTGCCATTAGCGAGAAAGGCCTGGAGATCACTGAGATCACCTGAAAAAAATATCGCCACATTCCGGGCGATTTTTGGTGTTTTCCGGTCAGAAGCCCAAGCAGGAAAATGTGTATTTACAGTGTCTTCAGTGTCAAATCCCGTTATTTACTGTAGGAGATTGGCATCGGTATCAGATTGGTTGATATCAGCTCTCCAACAAACCGAGCAACGGCCGAAAGGTTGGAGAAGAGCTTTGCTTCTCTTCTCTGAGATCAAATTCACAGGAGTCTGGTGCCGAAGCCATCCGAAGCCTGTAGATCCCATGACAGGGTCTCATGAGGCGTTTAGGTGTTTTGGGGAAATGTTCAAAGCTGAGAAGCGTCTGGATGCTGGGTTCGAAGTGTATGGGAAAGTCATTTGGGAAACCCTTGGATCATGGAAATTACTGCGATCAAATCATTTGGAGGTATTGGCAGGGGCTGGAATCCCCACATGAAACTTCACAGAAAAACTTACCAGCCCAGTCCCCCCGGCTCAATCGCCCCTGGGGACATCGTCGCATCATCAGGGTCATTAGCATCAGACTTACTCTCCACTTCGTATCTGGGAATTCCTCACTCACCGCTCTTTCATCATAGCTTCCTCCTTCCTTTACCCTCCCAGCTAGCTTTCGTCCCTTACTCCTTGGCCTCAAGTGGTTCCTGTGAAACCACTGGTGTAGCTATCATTCAGGCGATGTAATTCTTTCTGTTTGATGACAGCTTTCCAGCAGATATTGAACAAAAAACGCAGCTATCCAACTTTGAAGAGAAATCATTGAAATCTATATATATATAATAATAATGATGATAATACTCATAATAATAATAATAGCAATAGTAGTAATAATAATAATGATGATATATATATATATATACATAGATATGTCATTCAGATGGAACAATACTCATCCCACCGCTTTTAGATCTATTCCAACGTTGTTGGTTTTCATTGGATCCTTTCTCGGTTTAGCCACAAAAGCTCCCAGGAGTTTGGGGCTCTTTTGATTTGGCTCCTTGGGGTCGCAATTCGCTATGTTGAGAATGAGATGATTATCAGATGGGTATAGATGGGTCATATGGGTCATACCCCCTATATCCAGCCATGATTTTCATATAGCTCATGATTTTTCATGGATGTTCCATCTTCAGGGTCAAACATGTGCCACAAATGGCGGCCACAGTTCGCTCCAGATTCTGCTGCCAAAATCCCGATGGATCTTCAATTTGTAGTCAAGTGCGAATTGCGAATTGGAGAATGCAATTTTGGTATGCTATATATAGATTATATAGAAATCACAATCCCATCTCAGGAATATGGCTCAAATTGACCTTATTTAGCATTATTTAACCATCTATTTTCGGGATGATCATAGTCGACTCAAAAATACCGGTGGGATGACGATCCCCATTGAGAAACATCTTTTCCAGGTGGTGCTATAGTTGGCTTTACTGGGGCCAATTTAAAAGTTGATTTCCATGATGGAAATGATGTTTTGACTGCTTATCCTCCGGTTATTCCATGGCTAGTTGGAAAGTCCACCATTTATATCCATTTATACTCGATTTTCCCAGCTATTTTCCCTGCATTTTCAGGGATGTCCCTGTTTTTGATTGCCATGCTTGATGACCAGAGGGCAATCTAAGCTTCAACCTGCCACCGTGGGATCCTGGGGAGCCCAGGACTCACAGGTCGACCAGCCCGGCTGTCCTCACCAGCTACTGATGTCGCTGCGCAGCTGGGGCTGGATCCAACATCTGCTGGCTGAGATGCAGGCGGGGAACGGGCAGATGGAACATGGATGATCAAGGATGATCAAGGTGGAATTTGCAGAAAACCCCGTGATATTCATATCGGAATTCTTCAGTGATAGATGTGATTCACGTGGAAATCCACTCTGATGTTTGAGCATTGTGGCAGAAGCCAAGAGTTCCAACCTTTTTTATGTTCCCATAAACCAACCATAACCAAGCCAATAAACCAACCAACGATGTTTAATGGACCATGATTTCGTAGTCAGCAATTGGATTTTCCATTGCTGCTACAGCCATTGACGCAGGCAATTTGGGTGAAGCAAGATATTCTCAGCTACAATCTGGCCAGCCACCTGTCAATGTGTCGAAAAACCGGCCCTATTTCCATAGAAACAGCAGCGATTTCCATGGATTTCCACCTCATTTTTTGAAGTCCCCGAAAATGTTCAGTGTTAGGAATCAAAGGGTCTGTCTCAACAAATTCAGGATATTCAATAACATCATCCAATCATCTATCCACTGACATGAGTATATCAAGAGAAACTAATAGAGGCAAACCATGTTTGAATGCTATACAATGCTTTAAGATTGTACTTCTGCACATGTCCAAGGTAGCAGCTATGGTCGAAAGTCTGAGTGGCAAAGGGCCGAAGATATATTGAGCCAATTGCAACACAGAGGCGCAAGTCGTTTCCTTTGGCCACACCTCAATCTTATGCAAGCCAACAGCTTGTCGAAGATGATCAACATGTATCTGCAAAAAGACATGATAAAACATGATAAAACTGGATTTCTGCAAAAAGTGGCTTTCTATGAGTTGGAGGTTTTCAAATGTTTTCAATGGTTTTCACGTATGAACTACAACCGTTGTTCTTTTTTACCCATGTTATAACGGCTTCAGGCATGAAAGTCCAGGTGGTCACTGTGGGCGCGCTACTGTCGGATCCATGGCGCCGATGGCGAAAAAAACAGCTGCCCCCTTAAACTAGGTATGAGGCTGAGAAGTTGCGAGTGTGAAGTCATTCGATATGTATTATATATATATATATATATTATTATTTTTATTATTATTATTATTATCATTATTAATTATTATTATTATTATGTTATATATATATATATTGAATTGAAATATATTGAATGTCAATCTCGCCATGATCATTTTTAATGGAAGATACGAATTTTTCATCGCAAAAGAATTGGATGAACATGTCCACGATTGGTTCGATCAGAGCAATGATGCACTGCCCTTTTAAGCATATCCCCCATGGTTTGGGGGGTACGTGGCAAGCAACCCCCGATCAAACTACCCATTGTTTCGAAGACATCTGTGTCCATTTTTCATGTTCAAAGCTCCATATGTGCTAAAAATCAAATCCAACATCCCCATTGATGTTGCTTCAACAGCCCCCATTTCAAACAGATAACCATGTTTGCAACCATCCTACCCTCTCGTAATTTAACCTAGCTATTGAAAATGGCTCATAGAAATAGTGGATTTACCCATTGATAGCATGGTGTTTTTCCAGTTCGTTTTATGGAACAGTTTACCAGAGGTTTACCAGATTATCATCAAATCTGGAGGTTCAACATGACATCTGAGGCCTACGAAGTGGTCGATCTCTGGAAAAGTGCCCTGCACCTGGCCACCTCGAAGCTTTCTCACCTCGTGGATGTGGTGGCGGTGAATGCTGTGTCCTGGTTTAAGATGGTCGGGTCGGGAAGGAAATGTCATGGCAAGATGGCGGTTGGAAGATAGGAAGAACGTCCATAAAATGCATAAAAATCCATAAAATACCATAAAATGACTGATCAAAGATATGAAAGGGAGTTGCATGTTGGTTTTTAGGAAGTCTTGATATTTTTGTTGATGTTTTTTGTTCAAGTTGGTTGGTGATTCTGCCATGTGAGCCACTGCAACATCTCCGGCCATAAAATCGGAAAAGGGACGGCCTTGGTTTGTAGAAATGGTATAAAGATGAGGTAAGCAATGGGACCTTGCCAAATAGCGATGCCCTTTTTGAAGGTTAAGTCCTGTGCACATTTATGGCGTTTTCCTTTATGCCATACCCGGCCCCCTCCCAAATTGGCGATACATCATTTTTGTACAAACGTTTGGTTAGCGGTGGGACTTTCAAATTCACGATGTCCTTTTCCGTCAACCTTGAGTTTCCGAGATTGCTCATGCCGATTCCTTTCAACAGAATCACACCACAATGCAAAAATTATTAATAATACTCCTAAAATTGATAATAAATGATAATGATACTAAAAGTAATGGCAAAAACAAAGTAGTGACTATCCGTGGTAATATCAAAAGATGTGACTATAAAAAGCATAATATATATATATAATTATATATATATACATGTATATCTGAGTATGGCTCCCAACAACCTCACTCCACTGATCTTCAAACGTGAGGTCACCAGCGCGATGCTTCACTGGCCGAAAGCCATGCATCTCCAGATGGGAAATCTCAGCAGAGTGGGGCAGAATGCCCTTCTGGCCAAGGCCTGTGTAGT